GAAACAAACAGCATTCTTCCGCTGGAACGGAAGAGATGCAGAAGAGGTTCATATGGCTGCAAAGATCAACTACTGATAAATAAAATGATCCTGGAAAATTGCAGGAGACGACGTAGAAAACTTAGTGCAGCGTGGATTGATTATCGTAAAGCCTTTGATAGTGTTCCACATTCTTGAATCCTTAAGACTTTGGAAATGTACAAAGTCTCCCCTGTGGTATTAAATTTCCTTAAGCACAGCATGGGAATGTGGAACACCAAACTCTACCTTAGTCACACTGGGGACACTGCCATATCCAACCGTCTGAATATCCGACGTGGAATCTTTCAAGGAGACTCTCTGTCACCCCTTATGTTTTGTTTATCCTTAATCCCTCTTACACATGAACTGAACAACAGTAGTTATGGTTACAAAATAAATAAGAAAATATTCAATCACCTACATCACATGGATGATCTCAAACTCTTTGCCAAAGACGACAATGAGTTGAAAGGCCTCCTCAATATTGTAAAATACTTCAGTGACGACAGAGGTATGGACTTCGGAGTAGATAAATGTGCAAAAGTAACATTCAAGAAAGGTAGAATTACAGAAACACCCTAATAGATTTAGATTTTGTCACAGAGATTAGGGAACTGGAGCATGATGAAACTTATAAGTACCTAGGAATTAGCGAAGGAGATGGCATACAACACCCCCAAATGAAGGAAAAAATAAGAAAAGAGTACTACAGGCGTGTACGTCTGGTACTAAATACTGAGCTAAACTCAAAAAACAGAATATCAGCCATAAACACATTGGCTGTCCCTGTGGTGCAATACAGATTTAATGTCCTTAACTGGACCATAGCTGAAATTAAGCGAATGGACGCCAAAACGAGAAAGCTTCTCACTTGCTACCGCATGCATCATCCCAAAGCTGATGTTGATCGTCTGTATGTGCCCAGATCCGAAGGAGGCAGAGGATTACTTCAACTAGAACTGTCCTACAAAACTACAACAATTGGCCTCCAAAGATACTTGGAAACTACAGAAGACTGGATGATGGCATGCGTCAAGGAACATGAAAGTAGGAAGCGTCTTTACTCCGTAATAACAGAAGCTAACAAATTCAAAATGGAGTTTCAAATGGGCGTAGAGATGCAACTACAGCACAATAGACCGGCTGAAACTGCAAAATACTTAAAAAAGACAGCAAAGACGAATGCAACCGACCAGATACAGAAGCGATGGCAAGATAAACCGCTTCATGGCCAATACTCTGCCCGTACCAAACAAGCTGACGTAGACAAAACCCGTACCCATCAGTGGCTACGTAGTGCAGGGTTGAAAGCTGAAACTGAAGGTTTTATCCTTGCTGCACAGGACCAATGCTTGCTAACTAGGAATTATCAAGCACATATACTAAAATATTGTGTCAGCCCAAAATGCAGATTCTGTGATAAATATCCAGAAACGATTGATCATCTTCTATCAGGTTGCACGATATTGGCACCCACTGAATATAAAACCCGGCATGACAGAGTGGGCCAATATCTGCACTGGAGAATCTGCAACTTCTACGGGAAGGAAACTGAAAGAAACTGGTATGAACACCACCCAGACCCGGTTACGGAGATAGGACCTGTTACAATTCTATGGGACTACACAATACACACTGACAGAACAATTAAAGCCAACCGCCCAGATATTGTTATTAAAGACCACAAACAAAAACAGTGCCTCCTTATTGATATGGCAGTCCCTGCTGACTGCAATGTATCTTTGAAGATATTCAAAAAGCTATCAAAATACAAGGACCTTGAAATAGAAATCTTGAAAAATGTGGCATATGGGAACATCAACAATCCCTGTTGTAGTTGGAGCCCTAGGACTGATTGGAAAAGATTGCAGTAGACTAATTGACGGGATTCCTGGAAGTCCATGCCTCAAGGAGATACAAAAATTGTTCTGACAAGTACAGCCCACACTTTACGAAGGGCTTTTATCTATGTAATTTTTTTTTTTTTTGTCAGTGGAAAGTGTCATGATGTCATTTAACCTTAGGTCCCTGGGCGGGAACCGGAAAGAAATGTGTAAACGCCAGATATGAAAGGAAATAAAAATAAAAATAATAATAATAAGTACAGCCCACACCTGACGAAGGGCTTTGTCTATGTAAAATAAGTTTTTTTTTCTTCAGTGGAAAATGTCTTGATGCCATTTCTAGGCTTAGGTCCTTGGGCGGGACCCGGAAAGAAATGAGTACACATCAGAAATCAAAGGAAATAAAATAATAATAATACGAAAGCTTTCAAAATATCAGTCTAGTAATTTCAATCACTTCTCTTGTATAATGAAATTAATTATTAAAATGTGAGACATTTTTTTGGCTCATTTACATTCCCGTTGAAACTACTGGTAATAAATCATTGCTATAAAAGTTAGTCAGAAAGCAGCTTGAAAAACAGATCCGCACTTAAAAATGATACGCTTTACTTCGTTTTGCCATATTAGAGACACCAGTTATGGACAATTTGATTTTGCCTATTATCAAGAATGTTTTCATTACATTTTTTCTTTTTTATTATTTAATAATCTAATTATCTATTTAATTCATTTTGTCATTTTTTTTATCAACATATTTATTATTTATTATGAGATTTGATAATATTTTTTACTTCCGTTGACAGAATGAAAACTATGAAAATCAAATTTTATATATTTAATGTTACAAAAAAAATGTCAAAAATCGAAATATTTTCTTCTTTAGAAAGTGGCTTAAACGTTAGTTTTCTCGAAAGAAAATATATAATTATTTTTAAGAAACTTTATTTTGTTTATGTTAATTTCATAAACAAAATTAAGTTTCTTAAAATTATATTTTGTTTCGTTTTGTTTTTCGAGGAAACTAACGTCCATAAGATTTTTGTCTCTAAAGAAGAAATGTTTTCATTTTGTTTTTTTTTTGCCATTCAGAAAGACCAAACGGGTCGCAGTTTGCCAATGACTGGTCTACAACCGTATCTCATTTAGTAGCTAATATTGTCAGACCTTTTCTGTTTTTGTTTCGTAACCACGACCAGAATGTTGCATAGTGCCCGTTTTTGATGTCGTCATATATAGTGCGACCCCAGAATTTTAAACCTTTCCAGAAAAAGATTACTTGTGTATATAGTGCAGCCGGTTACCGAAAATACATAATTTTAACCTGTTCAAAAAATAAATACCTGTGTATAGCAATTTATTTGAAACAAATATTATTTATTGCATAAAATTTTATACAAGCATTTCTTAATGGCGGATCCTGTTTTTCTCATATCTTTATTGACGTATCAATAAGCTCATATGTGTTAACAGCTAATATGGCTGATTAGAATTGACATAATTTACGAAATATAAGTGATCTCTTTTTTTGGGCGGGGGTCATTTTTACAAATGAATATATTTTCAGCAATTATCTATTTTGTGAAATAGAAATTAAAAAAGTAAAACTTACTTTAAAGTTTTGAAACTGAAAGGATAATGTTCAAACCTGTTGAAAGGTAAGTAATGAATAACGAATTGGAGACAAGCGAATTTCTCTGCAAAAATTCGGCCACACATTCTACAAATGAACCACCGATGCTAAAGATGATAGCATTTTTTTTTTTTTTGACACATCATATTCTTACTTTGATTAATATATACATTTATACATTTGTTCATCTTTATCGAAAGAATATCTTCTCACTGCCATTATATACTTTTGGGCGCAAGGCACTCAGTAATGAGTAAAATTATTAAAAAATAAACTTTTGCATAAACAAGTCTTTCTTTAAAACCTGCCGAAACGTCGTAAATTTAAACGCTGGAAAGTTGAATACGGCTAACACCACCCTTTTGCTTTGCAATATTGGGGCTTGTATCAGACAGCGAATACTCAAGCTCACATCAATATACAAACTTAGGCAAGAATTTATGCCAATAATTTAAATGAGAAATGAAGTTTTGATTTAAATTCATGTTCTAACACAAAGAAAAAAAATCAGTTGAATGAGAATAAAAATCATTGATGATTGCCATTGAAAAATGACATGATTTGGCCGAATTACACGGGATTTAGCAATCAAACAAAATTACCGAAAAAATTCATAGAAAGAGAAACAACGTCAACTTTAAAATGAGGTTACATTTTTAATTCTTCACTATGTCAATTATATACAAACAAATAATTTCTTTTGCAATTGGAAATAAAACAACTGCATTACGCTCAGTAAAATGATATTCGTGAAAAAAAAATAGAAATTTCAAAACGATGTTGTTAAATTTAACGTTAAATATACTCAACTGATATTTCTATTTCGATAAAAGATCATTGCATATTTTCAAAAAACTGTATGCGACAAGAGATAAAAACTGAAAAAAACATACAAAATTTAAGGGGAAATTAGTCGGCGTTCGTTGTCTCAAACGCAAACTCACTAGTTAATAATTCAATCAATCAATGGCGATTCACGCATGCGCACAAACACTTGTATCGTATAAGTAAATATTCCGACAAACTTTTACGTTCTTAATGTTCGACGTGATACAAAACGCGAGAATGTGCATCCGAAGATTATCACATTTTTAAAGGAGGCACGTACGTGTCACTTTAACGCGGGAATGAATAGAAGAGCATAGATATCTCGCCTATGGCGAGATGAGAAATATTCTCATGAAAAAAACTAAAATTACACATGAGCGTGATAGACATCATGTGCTATATGCTGACATATTATTCAAATTTATAATATTGTCTAATGTCTCTTGTAATTGTGAATGTGGCAAAACTTTTCTACAGTGCGAATATTATAGAAAAAATATAATGATAATACAAATAAGGAAATGGATATTTACTTCAGTGTAGAAATTTTCGATTTCATATATATTTTCTGTTGTTTTTGTACTGAATACTGAAAATTCAATACGACGTAGAAGTAAAGACGTGTGCTTGACTGCTTGTTAAATAAAAGCTCATTTAAGAGGAGTACATATCGCTTACGGTCATATCACGTTGAACACACCGGTTCTCGTCCGATCAGCGAAGTTAAGCAACTTGGTCAGTACTTAGATGGGTGACCAGGTGCTTTTTATTTCTTTTGTGTGTGTGCTTTCTCTTCGAACCATTTCGCAGTTTTCCCTATCTACTACTACATTTCTAACATAGAGATTTTGATTTGCTAAAATTTCTTTCAAATTTACAGACAGTTATGCCAACAAAAACAAATGACACTGCACTTTTTTTTTAGTCTTAAAATAAGACACAGATTTCGTAAAATATTTCCATCGATACACTGGAAAGGAATCAAGGCATATTAGAAGTGAACTAGAACAATGACGTCCTCAGAAATTTGAAGGGCTTAATTCACATGAGCATCTCAATGTAGCTAAACTTAGGTGATCTAACAAACATTATTTGCTTATCTAGCGGAATGGTACAAAAAAAAAGTCATAAATTTGTCGACTACACGCAATGACCTGGTGGCAAAATGAAAACACTACACCGGCCGAGAATAGAACCCAGGCTGCCCGCGTGCATTCTACCACTGAACCACCGATGGTAACAATATATTCATTTTATTCACTCCTCATAATCTGACTTTTATTATGTATTCTACATTCTGCAATACCACACAAGAATAAATCTTTGTTTATTGGAAATAAAATATACAATTATAAATTTGTTCACCTTTCTAAAAAAAATGTCTTCTCACTGTTATTATGTTGTTGGTTGGGAAAACACTCAGTAATGAGTAAATGAACATTTGGAGAAACAACACTTTATTTAGCAACGCCCCGAGTCGTCACAACATTATTAAAATATTCATACACTCATTGTCAGCCTTGATAGGTTTCGCTCACAGTTTACATCTCTTAAATTCTTGATTATTTATTCTGAATCTAAAAATATAAACGCTGGAAATTTGAATACAGTTGAAACCGCTTTTTGAATTGAGACACGAGCTTGTATCCAATAACGAATGTTCAAATTATGATGAATATACAAAAGTTAATTATATACAAAGAAAAGTTGGCAAAAAAGAGAGAAAAATCTGATTTTAATTTACTGTGTACACAACTGGCAAAATAATTATGCATAAAGAAACGTTTGGGCACTTTGACGTGGTATAATGGTTGCCAAGCTTGTTTCGCTAGATAATTTACGACTGAGTAGTGAGTTCAATCCTCATTTGGTGCTCTACACTTTTGGCATTTTGCCACATCTAAGCTACGTTTAGAAAATCGCCAAAAAAAAAAAAAAAAAACGTTGAAAAAAAAAAAAAAAACGTTGACAATGATTAACCTTCTTGCCCTCAAAAAACAAAACTGTGCGAAAAAGTCAGTTATTCCCGTGACACCGCTATTACTGCATACACTTTCTTACAGACCGTGAGAGAGTATCTTATCGGTATAATTATTTTACTTGTTTTATCTCTTGATATCAGTATAGTCATGTCTCCCTATTGATATCATTATTCACATCTCTCTGTTTATA